ATGATTCCTTCCTGCAACAGATGACCACACAGTCAGAAAGAAGAGATGCCATAGTAATAGGGGATTTCAGCTATCCTGATAATTGTTGGAAGTCAAACTCTGCCAAAAATGTAAGGTCCAACAAATTCCTCAATTGCCTTGCAGATAATTTCACTGTTCACAAGGTGGAAGAGGGAACTAGGGGATCTGCGTTTTTAGATCTGATCCTAACCAGCAGTGATAATCTGGTTCATGGAGTGGAAGTAGTGGAATCCTTAGATAGGAGTGACCATGTTCTCCTGATGTTTGTATTACAGCAGAAAGTAGAAGCCAAGCGTAGTCAGACATGCATTCCAGATTTTAAGAAAGCTGGTTTGAGTAAACTTAGCAAAATACAGGGGGTGATCCCATGGTCAAGAATACTAAAAGAGAAGGGAGTCCATGACGGATGGGAATTTCTTACAAGTGAAATAATGAAGGCACAGTTTCAAACAGTTCCAATGAGCAGGGAAGTTGAAAGGTGTCTAAAGAAACTAGGATGGATGTTTAAGGTTTAACTAAGATTTAAAAGGGACATATACAAGAAATGGGAAAAGGGAGGAAATCATCACAGAGGAATTCAAGCAAATAGCCAGCATATAGGGCAAAAGTCAGAGAAGCGAAAGCACCGAATGAGCTCAGATTTGCTAGAGAGGTTAAAAAAACAATAAAAAGGTTTTTTTGGGAGTCATGTCCATAGCAAAAGGAAAAACTGCAGCTAAAAAAAGCCAGTGTGATCCTGGGCTGCATCAATAGGAGTCTAGTGTCTAGATCAAGGGACGTAATAGTGCCATTTATTCTGCTTTGGTCAGGCTTCAGCTGGAATAATGCTGTGTCTAGTTCTGGGCACCGCAATTCAAAAAGGCTGTTGAGAAGCTGGAACGTGTCCAGAAGAGGGTGACCAAAATGGTGAAGGGTCTGGAAACTATGCCTTATGAGGAGAGACTTCGGGAGTTGGGTATGTTTAGCCTGGAGAAAAGAAGGTTAAGAAGTGACATGATAGTTATGTTTTAATATTTGGAGGGATATCATATTGAGGATGGAGCAAGCTTGATTTCTGTCATTCTAGAGAGTAGGACTAGCAATGGTTAAAGCTACAGGAAAAGAGATTCCAGGTAAATATTAGGAAGAATGTCCTGACAGTAAGAGCTGTTCAAGAGTGGAATATGCTGCTGCCTCTAATAAGTTTGGAGGAGTCTCCTTTGGATGAAGATTGGGGAAGGTGGTCAACTTTACAACCTGTGAAAATTCTTGCTCCTTGTTCATAGCTGTGTGGTGCCAGCTATTATGCAGGATAAAATTTCCCACTGCTACAAAGATGCCTTTGGTGTAAAAATAAAGTTCAATTTCTGCTTCTTTTGCCGCTGTTATGAAGGCACTGGCGGGGTAAAGAGGTTGGCAATCCTAGAAACGGGTCTAGGCTACTGCTCCAACTCACAGTGAATAAGGACAGAAATTAAGCAACAAGTGAACTGAGGAATAGGGATATTTTTTTCTAAGTCTGCAGAAGTTACATAACATATAGAAAGGCATTTGTTTTGATTTTTACATTTCTGAATATTTCCATATTTAAAAAAACTCCCTCCAAGTAGAAGACCAACACAACAGATAAAACATTTGGAGAAAACCCTTTTCCTTGATCTGCTGGCTTTCTCTTTGTGGGGCATTTGTGGGCTCCTTTGGGGTCATTCACATTACGAAATAACCTGGTGTGGAAACTGGGTTATTTCAGGGTCATTCACACTGGAACCAAGTTGCCTCGGTGCAGTTTGCAGGGGGGCCACTGAAAAACCCATTTAAACCGGTACATTTGGCACCGGATCCTTTAGAGGTTCTTTTTTAAAGAACTACAACAATCCACATCTCTGATAGCGTGAATGCATTATCAGATCGATTCAGATCGTTCAGACACCATTCTGGAAATAGAGGTGCCACCATTTTGATCTGGAACGATGGCAAATGGGAACTTCAAATCGGATTTAAATGCCACAGATAGATTTGATGCCTTAAAACGTAGCGGGAATGGTGAATCGATTTTGAATTGATGCACAGATGTGAATTTCTCCATGCAAAAAACGTAAGTGTGACTGACTTTCAAAAAGGGATACCTTCCCCTGAATCTTATTGTGACTGAAGTTTGTAATGCATTCTTCCCCATTTGCTTTGCAACATCCAACCCTTTACAGCTGGCGAAGGCATTCAGCGGCATCAAAGATTAAGGTTTCCCTGGGCTTTAGAGCACAAGTTCTTATGTTACGTGTTCAGATGTTCCTCAGATAAATAAATTTGTTTCATGAGGGTGGAGACAGCATATTTAAAATCAGATTATTGTTATTTCATTCATTGATATCCTGCCTTTCTTTTAATAATGAGGCTCAGAGTCGCTAGCATGTTCAAAAACAAATAAAGATTAAAAACTTATAAAAATAATAAATTAAAAATATAAATATAAACAATTTAAAAACAAACAATTGACAAAGGAATTGATAAAACAAGTGACTAAGGGGTCATTCAGATGACTTTTTTAGCACAGCTATGCAAATCTCATACATTCTGGGTTTGTTATTCACATTATGGAACCGTATTTATGTGCATCTCTGCAAGTTTGGGTGCTCACACTTGCCAGCATACGAATAAAGATCAGGAGTCGATGATGCAAATGCAGTCAAAACACATTCAAGGCATGCGGAGTTTTATCCCGGTTTGTCCTGGATCTATCCATGTTGTTTATTCACACTGGTGATTATGCGAATCTTTTTTAAAGAATTGGGAAAAACCCCAATCAATTATACCAGGTTATGTGGAGGTTTTTGGCACCTCCCTTGCCAAACTTAATTGGATGCATTTGAAATTCATCTGAACAACAAAGATTCAACCCAGATTATTTTCACCATCTGAATAATCCCTAAATTGATGCTATCTCTAGCAACAGATTCCGGGCATGGGGTTAGACCACTACGTGGACCTTGGGAAATCCTTAAACTATTATTATTTTATATCTCATCCCCTGAGATCTGGCATTTGTTTGGTTACAGGAGGAGACCTTTCACCCCAGATGTTGTCAGAGATGAGAGAGACAAACAAGGTGCTGAGAGAAATCACAGAAATCCTGAAACAGCAGGTAAGAAAAAACAGGTCTTGAGTCTCTCTTCATGTTGAAAACACCTCTCTGCACACATACCTGCAGCCAACAAATAGGAACAATAACAATACCCTGCCTTTGCCCCAATTCTGAACTCAGTGTGGTTTATAACAGGTTTTTTAAAAATAGTTTAAAATTCACAAGATACAAGTCAAAAAGGGATTAAATGATAAAAAATTAAAACCAATGAAAATCACCAAAGCACTGAAAACCTGGTAAAGTAAAGATAACAAATATAAAATCCTGCATGTTCTCTAGGCAAGCCAGGCTTGTACAGTCAGGGGACATTCACACTCATTTTTTTGTCCCAAGGAGATGTGCATCACTGCGCTGATGCGTATCAGGTTTGTTCCCATTTTGTTTTGTGTTCACAAATCTCTTCGAGTCATTTTAATCCTAGTGTTATTCACACATGCCATCATTTTGGGTTAAAATGGAGCTGCCTCCCTTCAAAGGAATGATACAGAGCAATCCGAATCAATTCGGAAACTTATTCACACTGCCAACAATGAGGATCTTTCAGGATCTTTCAGGAAAAGTTGGGGGGGGGGG